ACCAGGGGAAAAAGCCTTAGAGGCCAATTCTCACTATTGACAGTGCTTCACAAAGCTCTGTGGATCACTGTAACATAAGGCATCTGTTTAGTTCCCCGTCCCCCCAACAATTGTTTCAATGGTCCAGCTAATGTAAAGTGACCATTACTATCCTCAGTAACAGATACCCTCAACAAGACAGTGTATTTTATATGAAGTAATTCATATAAGCACCATGTTAACTGAAGGTCTGACCTGCTCCTCCCAGGTACCTCTTGCTTTATTGGCCCAATTAAAATATTATTTCTTTTAATGCCATCATAAACCTATCAAGTGCCACTGGAATACAAAACCAGAGTCTGGAACACAGTTATCCTTCCATGAAAACAAAATAGAAAGCAAAAGAAAATCTCCAGAGTTCTACAAAGAAATGAGGAGCTATTGAGCTATTTTCTACCAATTTTTGTCACAATTGCAATACATCCTCCTTTTTCTACCATTTCTCTCTGCAATCATCTTACTAGTCCCAGGTGCAATTTATGATTAGTATTACAAATCAGTAAGAATTGCTGTCCTGCAACCCATGAACTTTGCATAGCTCGTTATTACTGCAGCAGCTGCTAATGCTTGCTCCATTTATTCTTCTCTAGGACTGACAGCTACTTCTGTGGATTTTTAAATCATTCTCAACTTTCAGTTGTTACCAATTTAACATCAAGATGTCCTCCGGTTTTACTGATTGGAGCAAAACTAAAGCTAGGAATGCCAGAAGATTATCATGATCTAGACTGAATCTGGATAATGCGGATTGAATGTAGAGAAAGATCAGACTACCTATACTCAGTGGGGGAAAAAAATAAATAAATCCACTATTCCATGATACAAGATGGATTACTAAATACATGCTTTAAACACTGTTTTCACACCTTGTGTTAATATTGTTGTAGGACTTCTGAATCTGGGAATCTTACTTTTCACATCATTGCCCTTTCTGTCACTATGCTGCATTCCTTCAGCCTTTAGTAGTGAATTCCTCCAAACTAATTTTTTAAAGAGCACAATAAAATAAAGGCATGACAAATTCCCACCACTTAACTGCACTTATTCTCATGATTACCGGATCTGAGAGTCATGTGATATCTAACCACTGCAGTAAAGCTACACTTACCTCAGTAAGTGTACAGACACCCTGAAGCCCATTCCTGCACTATAACAAAGCTCCATGTGCACTCTTAAATGTATGCTTTTCTCTACTGGAGCAGAAAAACTAATTGCTCAGGCTCTGAGCATATGCTTTTTTCCATTCTAAATGAAGAATAATCCAACTTCACAAGTTCCCAAATAGCTCATACCTTCATCTCAAATATTTTTACACTTTCAGAAACACACACTTCTGACAGCTATGAAAATATGCTAAGTTTGATATTCAAGGAAGAGTCACATTTCACTCTCCAATGCACAGAATTTGTGTTGCACCATAGATTTTCTTCCACACACAGAAGAAGTGATTGCGACCTTTCCCTCTACCCTTATATAATAAACAACTTGTATAAAGAACAAACTTCTTTGTGAGCAGAAAATAAGTGTAGCAAAGCTGACCTTAAAACCAAGAAATGTACATGCAAATAAGGAACACACAACTGGTACAGATATTTTATTCCAACTGCAGGGTTTCATCTACGCTTTACCATGAAGTGAAGTCTGTGACCTGTCTAATATTGCCAGTCTCCAAATTCACACAAGACTCTCCATAACTATGAAGTTTTAAATATGGTTTACACTGATAAATTTAGTAGCAGCAGAAAGCATACCAATTTTATCATTAAAAAAGGAATGCCTTGATGTCTGCCATTTAATCTTAATCCTCTTGTATCTATTGAAGACTACTAAAACAGGTCTCAGGCCAGCAAACAAAAGTTAATATTGAAACAGCTGTGGGCTTCGTTTTGAAGAACCTCATTCTAACTTGCTTTATTTCATTTCATCTCATCTCTCAAACAGAGCTACCCCTGGTGCAAATGGTAAAAACAAAATGCTAATACCTTAATTTTGGAAACAGAATTAATGTAGCCATTTAAAAGCAACAGATACTACTTTAGAACTGTTTCTTTGTCCAAAAAAAAAAAAAGTTTTCCTTTCAAAGTAGGATTTCACTTGGCTCCAAGGATTCTCTTACTCATGGTACAGCGAGTTTCTTGCAGCAGTCAGAGGTCCTGACTTAAGTCAAAAGAGACTTATATACTTCTGAAGCCCATCAGGGCAGAAGAAAGATGTGTTCCTTAATGCCACATTTGGTTATGAATTAGCCAGAGGTCTGTGCATGTGAATTGACATCACAGTGGTGACTTGTTCATGTCCATTAAAAAAGACAAAAAAACCCTCAAGAGTTTCTAGGTTAATAAGTTATAATTCCTTCTTAAAGCTAGACATGTTTGTTAATAATTGAACTCAGCAATGTCATAGATCATGCTACAAATTATATTGAGAGTCTTTCATTCAAATATGTGAGAATTGGGACTTAGACTTCTCATACAATCCACCAGTGGTAGAGAAGTGATAAGTGTTTTAAATTTAGGCTCCACTTTTAACAAAAGAGTTTTCCCTGTCCCTGTCTGGCTAAGGCTCATCCTTAAATGGTGAGTGCTGCGAAAGCATTTGAAGCAGCAGTGGGACTTGCCCAGACAGCACTCCCAAACACAGGAAATCCCACAATGTTTTATTTTTGTCTTTTTTTCTATTTCCAATTACTGCTTTTCTGCTCTGCTGCATCAATAACAATGCCTTTCTGTTCCCTACTGCAAAGCCTGACACTTTAACAAATTACTGCTCACATAAAAAGGAAAGTGCTCATTTTGGCACACAGTACCAGGTTCCCAAAACACAGACTAACTTTGAGACAACAAGAAGTGCCAGGTTTTAGAACTGAAATGGCATTAGCAATACAGAGAAGGTAAATTAGCTGTCATGCACTAAAACTGAACCAGCAATTACGACAGTCATGTCTAAAAAAGCCTGAATCTCCTCAATAAGAAGCAGAAAAGCTTATCAACACAAAGTTTTAAAAGTTGGGTTGGAGTGACATGAGAAGCACAAAGGATCAAAAGAAGCATAAAACAAACAAAACAAAAACCAAACAAACAAAACAAAGAGGGAAGGAGAGAAGAAACACTGCAAAGGAACATTCTGAACATGAAAAATACATCAACTTGTACCAGCAACACAAAATACCCTGGGGTCATTCCCTCGCTCACATTCTCTCAAGCCGTGTTTTATCAGTAAAAGGAAAAGTAAGTGCAATCACCTTCACATTGTGCTTCACCTCTGAAGCTTTTCTCCTTTTCTCACAGGATGTTAGTAGTTATTTAGATTGCACCATAGGTAGTGACACAACCACGGGAACCCTGACAACTGTGTTTAGACAGAGAAGTGTGTTAGAAAGGTGTAACCAGCATTAAACTTTATTTTCTGTTACGTACATGTAGCACATTTGATCTTTAAAAAAAAGGCTACTCCCTATAAGCTTTGCATTGTTTCGGTTTAACAGGTGTGTTTAACCAGTTCTGTGGCACACATACTGTCAATATAACAACCTGTTAAAGGGAATAGCCAAAACCAGGTGCTGTTTAAAAAAAAAATAATTTTAAAAATAAATCTTTCTCCCTTCCTCCCCAAGAATGACATAAAGAGCAAACACCTTGCAGCAGAGCCTGAAAATTAACCCGATGGGGCTGAATGGAAGCAATTTCACAGTTGCAAGACTTCTTGAAATTAAGTCAGGAGCACATTGCATACAGCAATTGGACTGAGTGCCCCTGTACTGTGCAAGGAGACAGCTGTCTTCCTAGCTATCTAGAATTCAACTATGATTTCTACAGCTATAAAAACGTGTTCATCTTAGAATTGCATCTGGAAATGAAACAGTTTAATGAGTTCCCTTTCCAAATACTGGTGGCATCTTTTGCAAAAGATGGTACTTTCAGTTTAGGGTTTATTTCCAACCACAAAAGCCAAAATAATCAAACATACAATTCATGACACCAAACCCAGAATGCAGATAATCTCAGAGTTTATCTAAAACAGCATTACTGCTGGCGAATGGATTGCTATGATCCATAAGTCAATAAAACCCCACACCCATCCCCATTTGCAGGCAGCAATAGTTAGAAGTCAGTTCTGCTTGGGGTAATGCCTGTCAGGAGACAATTACTGAGGCTGTTTTTAAATGACTAAATTTCCATCTTTTCTATCTTGAAAAAAAAGACAGAACCCAGTAGGAATATAAAGTTGCCCTTGATTTTTTTTTTCTGCAAAAGTGTGACTGGTCTTGCATTATAAAAAGGTTACACTGCTGTAAGCTCAGTACTCATCTGCCAGACAGATGAGTTGAGGCTGAGCTCTTTCTTCCTGCCCCAAAATAATTCTAGTTACAAATAATCCACTTAATAGAAAAATTTTAAGCCAGCCCTTAAAGGAAAAAAGTTTTTTTTTTTTTTTTTTTTGGTATAACTCACAGCCAACAGAATGCTCATCCCTGTCAGATCTACTGAAAGCACGTATGGACTTATAACCAAGTTACCATGGTTCATCACGTTACTGCAGGTTAGTAGAACTGTGGTGATCAATCATCTTCACACCCAGTTCACAGCAATTATAGGGTATTAAGCCCCTCCTTGAACAACAATGGAATTTCAGGCCAGACAGTCTAAAATAAATTGCTTTATTTCACATTTGCTGTAGTCACCAGTTATCTTTGATCTTGACGCATAGTGACCTGCTAAGCTGTCATAACTGGATTGCAGTTCTAAGCCCTACAGCTTTGTAAGGCTTAACTCCAGATATTTCAAACTGTGGCCACATTTTAACCTTTTTTAATTTTTACTCTTTATGTAATCAATCTGAAGACAAAATGCTACATTATTGCACAGTTACTGCTGACAAAGTCCCACTATATCCGCGAGCCCACCCAGTTAATAAATGGCACAATTTGGCCTGCCTCAGTGCAGGCAAACCAAGACTCTTACCTGCTCGGGGCTCTATTGTCTTGTTGGAACCTGCATCCATAAACACAAACCGTCCACCACCAAAATCTTCAGTGTAATCAGAGAGATAGAGCAGTGAAGTGTAGTCAAAAGAGCCATAAGTCACCTAGGAGTAAGACAACATTACCAAACATTACCAAATTCTACTCCCATCTCCGCAGAGCACAAATAATTACGCAGATGGATCTGGTGGGTTTTTCCAGTTTTCATGTATTTCATAAAGGGGTCTCTGAAAGCTGAGAATGTTCTTTTATAGAAATGATACATGTTTATTAGTCTATTCTGTTTACACACACACACTACATACAAGACTAGCATATTATGCTTATTATTTCTATTATTACAGTTTCCATTGTTAAAGAAGTGCTCTTAGCAATTTCTATCATCCTAAGCATACTAAACTGCTAGCAAAAAACAACACAGTGTCAGAAGTTACACCTCTGCATTGTATCAAAAATATAGAAGGGCTCAGATCTATTTATACTATTTCAAGATAAAATTTCACCATACCCTTGCTGAGACCCAAGAACAGCCTTTGACTAATTAATTCCATCATTATCTAATCATGGTTATAGGTTTCCAGAAACCTCACCTTTTACTCTTTCACCAGCTACCATGCAGGAGCTTCATGGTAACAGTGAATCAGACCTTTCAAGTAAACATGCATTTGTTGGAGGAACTTCCACTCTTTTCCATACGGGTTTTGTTTAAAAACCTTCAAATGTGACTTTCAAAGCCTCTGCTTCTTCTCAGCCTACAGACCAAACACCCCATTTTTAAGTATAACAAGGTGATTTTCCTTCCTTCTAAAGTATTATTTTTGCTCAATACGTATGTTGAAGATGGAGAGAAGAAACACTATGTATTAATGCTCTGAGTGAAGCTATCTAAATATTTAACACTGAGTTTAGCTGATTCTGAAAATATTTCCTTTTCATATCTGCATGTCACCAACAATTAAAAATATACTTAAAATCAATGGTTGTATTCCCCAATTTCTTTACAGTATTTCAACTCAATCAAGTTCTGCATTACACTGCCAAACACTGACATGTGCAGCACAGTAGTACTGTATTTGCAGAGTGTTTTGACTGACCTGGTGACTGTTAGAGGTAGGTGCTAATTCCAAACTTAGAAGCTTTCTAAATATTTTCAATTTTCTTTTAAGTTACATTCATTAGAGCCAGTTAAATTTTGGCTCAACAGCAGTTGTACATATTATTCTGTAAGTGCAATGACTAAAGAGAACATAGCAGCAGATGGAATAGGAAGACATTTTCATTCTTACTTATTTTATTATTTTGACCATAAGGGCTTAAAGGAAAAAAGCCAAGTCTGGTGATATGCTGCACTACACAGTCCGAATCACAAGAATGAAAGAAATGTTTTCATGATCACCTTCTACCCATGTTTACCCAAACCTTCATAGCAATACAAGGCAATAAATGTGAATTAATGAGCATGTGGTACTGCTGCACCTCAAAACAGCCATTCTGCAGCCCTCCTCACACAATCAGCTTTGCAAAGCTATTTTCACCTTCATTGATTTTGTGATAGAACTCCCACTCAGTTTAAGGAAGTCTTCCAGCCAGTGAAGGCATTAGCATAGTAAAGAAGTTTGTTCAACTCATACTTGCAAGTCTAATGCATTAAAATTGTTTTTATGAACCCTTCAGCGGTGCGGCAATCTTTGCTCCATCAGTGCACTCCCCATCCTCTCCAAGGTAGATTTACCAATTCTGAACTTCTAAGAGCTGACTTCAAACCATTTTAGCCTAACCAAACACATCTGATTTCTATAGACGACTAATTTGGGGAACCAAATATGCAATGGAACACAGCTTTTCTGTTCCTGTTCTTGTTCATTACCAACTCTCAGAAGGCAGCCATGCCTGAGAAATGCAACACTATAGAAAGGAGGCACTAAATTATACTCAAGTTACTTAAAATGCTAGAACTCCCACACGTATATCAAATGTCTTTTTTACCCTGGTAATGATTTCCAATACCAGAAAGGTTAATAATTGAACCAGAAGTTCAAACTACATGAGAAAAGCTGTCATTAAAACCAGGTGATAAGCCATACAGGCACACTGCAGTAAATCAAGTTTCTATAGCTCCTTATGAACAATTCAATAGAAAAAATGCAGGGATTTCCATTCAGCCTGACGCTTCATACAGTTAATATGCTCTTTTTGAGCACCCTTTGCCCAAATAAGTCAAACACAGCTAATATTTAATGGTAGATGCTCATAATGATTTTTATATGATACTTCTTTAAAGACTGTTATAAATACAACTAATTGTCAGAATTAGCCAGACACATTTTGTAGTGTGGCACCCTTGGGTTTTTGAGGAACACATGTTTATATGCAACTCAACAGTTGTAGGAATATGCGACAGGCCTGCAGTTACTAAGATAGATATGTATGACAGCATCCTCTGCTTTCCATTGCAGAAGAAAATACAAACACGTATTCACTTTCCAATTAGCATAGGTCTAGCATGATATCTTGCAGAAATTAAGAGTCACAACTGCTCTTTTCCTGTAAGCCCCTACCTATCTCTTTGTGCACATAATCACAAAAATAGCCTTGATAGCTACTTCCAATGTTCTATATATTGGTAGTATCTATTTAGTTGACATGTAAGACACCAAATAGCATGTCACTGAATTACAAGGGGCTGTAGGTGAGCCGAGGTAGCAGGTTTGAGCAGACACAAAGAACAAACTTCCTCGCATTTCAAAGACAATGCTGTCCTAAGGCAGAAGTAAGATCTTTCGATGTATTTCATTACATGTCTAATGGGGGGTGGGGGGGGAGTGAAAAGTCTGCTAGAACAGAGGGCAGCTGCTATCAGTGATAGATTCACCAGCCAGAGGAAAGGGGGCTGCTAGAAGGGTTAGGGAGATGGAGAGCATATCGCAGGTAAGGAGACTTGAAGGTTTGGCTTCAAGCTTAGAGAAAGAAAGTTCTTGGGTTCAGCTTAGAGAAAGACAGACTGAAAAGGGATATGATGATTGCTACCTATAAATACATGGGGATGGGAAGAGGTGGAGCCAGGAGGAGGGAAAGAAAATAGCTATAAACTGATCATGAACAAGTTTAGGCTAATTTAAAAAATTTAAGAAAATTTGCACTTAAGTCCTGGAATAGCTCTGATAGAAAAAATTCAAGGAAGATAAACCAAAACTGATCTTATGGTGGAGCCTGACAATTCTGTCAAGGATGACAGGATCCTTGCCCAGGCAGGGGACTGCAGAAATCTTCAAGTCCTGCATCACTTCTATTAGAGAACTATACTGCTATCAAAGTTGAGTGTGCAACAGCAATTCCATTATAAATCAGACATTTGAAAGGCTCAGTTCCAAACAACAAATTCCATCCAAGATAAAGCTCCACATCTTAAGCCAACACTCTCTTTATTTGATTTAGCTGCTTATAAATTCAACAAGATTAAATGAGTCATTTGGGTGATTTCAGGGTTTCCATTCCTGTATAACTAAAACCAAGTAACTTTTAGGGAAAAAACAAAGTGTTATACAGACACAATAGATCTGTGCTACTCCATTACACAGTTAAAATCTTCCAAGCCAAGGATATTCAGATTGAGAGATATAATTGCAATAGACTCAGCAATATAGAGAAAAATGCAAGAGGGGTATTTATGTGCTCCAAGAAGCCTACATCCTTGAACCAACAGTGTCAGAGATTCGTTTTTCAAAGGCTTATTTTTAACCTTCTTTTGGAAACAGGCAGGGAAAAAAAAAATCCTTAAGTCTTCTAGGAGAAACCTTCACCTTTTAGTTATTATGCAGAAATACATAAAGTGATTTGTTCTTTTCCAAGGGGAAAGCATAAATAATGATACAACACAAAAGCATCCAACAAACTGGCAAAATATTTAACATGCTGAATTTTATTGATCTTTCTTCAACTACTTGGTATTCACACTTGTTTTGGAGTCTACATAAGCATACTACTGCTCTTATCTGGGAAGTATCTCCTGCCTCTGATCAATAGCAATGCATTTTTTTTCTTCCTTGCTTTCAACTGCAGTCTGAAGTGGCAGGTGAAACTTAAGTTTGTTGGAGAAATTAAAATACAAGGCAGGCCAACTGCTCTGAAGACAACCTGTGAAGCTACACAACTTGTCTACCCTATTTAGCCTTCTCTGAAATATCTTCTGACCTACTGACCTTCTATTTGAGTTCAGTTTCCTGCATAGCCTGATCAGCTATAAATACTTATTTTTTACCTCCTTCTAAACACATAATGATATAGATACAGATATACATAATGTACACCTAGAGTAGGCTAAAGTTACGTGCAAACTTATATTCTACACATACTGTAACATTTTCTGTAAGCCATGATCTGGCAAACACATAGATGAACGCTACATCCAGATAGGTCTGTTCCAATTGCACTTTAGGGGAAAATAATACCAGACCGTTTGACACACAAACAGAAGTTAGAGAGGAGAGAGGAATTAGAGGCTTGTTTGTGCAGCAAGGAAAAGATTCAAATTAATCCTCTGGTGCCAATTCAAGTGAATGACGTACCAGAAGTGAAAGCGGCCAGTGTCCAGTAGCAATGATACATGATGATGTAATTTAGACTTTCATGATGGACATGAAGTGAACAGGATCGAGGATGTATCTCCATCAGACCCTATTTAAGGCATCATTAGCCTAGTTCAAACTCGGTATTTTCAACTAGGCAACGCAAACTGCTATCATTAAACCACAGAAGTAACTGTATTAGCTGGCAATAGCTGAAGTCCTTTATCCTAGAAAAGGATGAACCACTAAGCTGGGGGAGTTTCCACAAGAACAACCCCAGCCCATAGTGGCTTGTCCCTCTCTTCAACGCCCTCTGCACTGGCAACAGCATTTGCTCCATGTGAAGACCAAAGAGCGAGAAATGGACCTCCAAGTCATAAGCTCAAGTAGCACTTAAAATAAACAGCACAAGCTACAGTTCTCACTCCTAGCGTTACCTAGACAATACTTCTCTCAGAAAATACCCTGAAATTTAGCATAAGTCATATTTTCATATTTTACAGCAGGTATACTTTTTTTGGGGGGGGGTGTGCAAATTCTACAGGATTATGAACAACGTGTTTGGTAACTGCTCCAACTGGGATAATTATCTCTTCACTACTGTCATAAATCAGACAACCCAATTATCCAGTATAGAAACTATTATGGTTTAGGTTATGCATAGCAAATTTAAGAGACCACATTTTGTGTTTGTTTTGGTTTTTGAAGCTGGGAGCAGTTAGAAAAAGCCACGGCCTGTCAGTTGGTGTATCTGCTCCCTGAACAGACAGCCTGTGAGATAACAAACAAAACGTGGACAAAACAGATGGATAAAAACAGCAAAACATCTAGCCTGCTGTCCATCATGCACAGGTACTGTCAGGATGCCATAACAGAGAAGCAGCTTCTACAAAGGAAACAAATTCTCTTCATGGAAACAGATCTGCTTCTAAATGACAAAATAACTTGTATATTATAGTAGATATTTAGGTAGAAATACTTAATTGTAAGGTTATCCAACCACCTTATTCATTTACCAATACAAAACACATGCAGAAAAGAGTAAAGAGAATATTGGCAAGCCTAATGCTTGTGCAGATGCAAATCTCATTACAGTAATAAATCAGAGTCTGAAATTCTAAAATACACTTTTTTGGGCTGAAAGAAGTGGAGAAAGTAGCCATCAGCTATTGAAATTTACCGTTTTCTCTTCCCTTGTGGCAGTCAAATTCAATTCTCTGGAAGTGTGGAAGAACTACGAGGAACCTATGAATTTATTGCACTTCACACAACCAAAATCACTAATTTATTTGGTGTCCCTTGGAAATGAGCGCAACAAGTGATGGAATTCTTATGAACCCCAACAGCACAATTCGCTTCCTACAACCAGCTCCTGCTAGCACTAGTCAAAATAATCTGCATCTCAAAATCTTCCCTACCACCTCTGGTCCTAGGTCTACTCCTATTCAATGTTTACATGACAGCTTTTTAAACAAAAAGAATCCAAAAGCTGGTCTTGTCTTTGTTATGTCAGTGACAGCAAATTCCACCCTACATTACTTTCTTCTTTGGAACAGTGGCTGTATCAGGTATCATCACTGTCACCATGTTTTCTAAATTTAAGCTGCTTCTGCCTACATGACAAGAAAGGGCACAGGAGCTTACACTACTGTTGTGAGCAACAACAGACATTTTACTTCTCTCAGACTGACTTTTCCCAGGAAATATTTTCAAGGCAAGGAATATTTCTCTGTTTGATTTTTCATCTTACATGCTTCAGGTCATAGACTTCAAGGTAAACTACCCAAATACAGACTCTAGCACCAAGATGTAACTTAGATTTTGATGGGACAAGTTTTATTGGGTTCCATCTTGAGTGATCCATAACTCTTAACTTTTAAATCCTGAAGACATAAAATGTGGATATTCTGGGTTTTTTGGGTTGGGTTTTTTTGTTTGATTTTAGGGGGTTTGGGTTTTGGTTTGGTGTTTTGGTTGGTGGTTTTGGGTTTTTTTGCCATTTGATTCTTCCATTGTTAGTTTGTATTCTGTTATGCTGCACAGAACCTTTGAACTCTGTTAAATTCAGAAATAAACTCAATACCAATCCCAAATCATTTAAGTCCATTGAGAAATGCAAAGTCTTAAGCTACGAGCCCACGGATAGAAAGAAGGCTAGGCAGTTAAAAGAAAGTCACAATACTTCCATTCCAAAAGCAACAAAACATCAAATTATTAGAAGAGGGTACCATATCCCCATGGAAGAACATGCAGTAAAAAAGCCTCAATTCAGGTACAACTGAAATATAGATGTTAAGCATTTATCAAAAGGCTCAGATCAACTAACAATAGTGACTAACCACTTAGAAATAGCTCCTGCTAGACCTGGCTGAAAGTGATACCCTAACTGGGAACACAGGTTTGATGAAACTGAAACACTTTGTAGGTGCAGGTCAATTTAATCAATGTTTCTGACAAAGGAGATTCCTGAGTAGTCAATCACACAATTCATTAATTCTAGCAGAACTAAAAGTAGAGAAAATAAAATAAAAAGAATGTACCAGCCTAAGTTTCTAAACTCACTTATCCTTCCATTAGGTTCATCCCCCGAAGGATTTTTACAAGCATCAGTTTTCAAACACATTTGACTGATTGTTTAATGCAAAATTACTTTAAAGTGATCTCATAATAACAGGAAACATTTGCATCCTATCTCAGACTCCTACTTACCTTGTCAACATGTGGGTGCCAGTATTCATCATGTGTTGTCTTGGCTTCAGTGTTGTTTATTCTTGAGAAGAACGTTGGCTTAGTCAGGTACATGGAAGCAGAGTTGATACCAAACGCCTGAGCAATCCTCTGTTGAATTCTCTGTCTCACATCACTGCAAAGAACACAACACAATACAATACAACATGCTAAGTGACACACCTCTCTCCTGCTTTTCCTGTATTCTCCTTCATTTACTGTTACTGCTTCTTCAGAGCTAAGCTTCTTCCTTAGCTAATAAATCATGGGAAACATATACCCATACTTTCCCTCTTATTTTGCCTTAAATAAAGGAGATTTACTACACCAAAAAAAAAGAGACCTCCCCCCGCAGTGTTTTGGGTTGGTGTTTGTTGGCTTTGGGTTTGGTTTTTCTTTTAATTCTCAGAATATCAAGAAAAAGAAACTATTTGTCCCCCATGGCCTAGGTTTTAAAATTTCTTTGTGTAAACAGTCTGTTTTCCTGAAAAATTCCACGCATATCTCACTGTTTATTAACTACTGAAAAGATTAAAGTCTTTCACATATATATTTTTAATCCAAAGCATATAACTAGAAAGTTGTATCTTCAATAAAGGGTTGCTTCTGGAGCACCTTCAGCTATTTTTACACTAATTTTAAATTAACCAATGAAGCATCTAGCACCATATAACTCAGGGTTCTCAGTCAACATATGTATTGGTATCATAACTAGATTTTCCTTAAAAATGAATGCAAGATGTCTTTCCCAACTATTTCTACCTTTGCTATCCCTGTGTTTCTTGGGAGACAGGAAGATAAGAACAGGATTTTTATTTTTATGATTATGAAAACAGAAGACTAGTAATCACACACGCGTTACTATACAGAACTGCTTATATAGCAGCATCCATCCTTCAGGATAGGTATTGCTGCATACAGGGCTAGAACAGGATCACATAGAACTGCCAGCCTTAGTTCAGTCAATGGCACTTTTAGAGAAGAGATTTGTGATTAATGAAGAATACCACTGGCACATCTCACCAGTAAACACATACAGCTAGTATTTAACTTTGAGGAAATTTAAAAAGCAGCAAAGAACGCAATAACACAATGAGATGAAATGAAAACGTTGGGGTTTTAAGATGTAATCCTCTATGCTTCTCAAAAGCTTTATAATGTTTTCTCCCAACTTTAACACATTCTTAGCTATTGTATTAGTCTTCCTTCCCAAGTGCTTCAAAAGCAGCATGCAGACAAGGTATTCTGAGTAAACACAGCTCGGAAGTTCTGCATGGAATTAAATTAGTAGTTTTGCATCTTTTCTGCATCAGACATTTCTCCACTGGGTAGTACTAAACTTCAGCATAATTTTCAAGAAAAGTTTTTCCCCAAGTATTTCTCTAGGGAACTTAAACAGTGACTAAAAAGAAGCGACAGGAGTAAAACCAGACCTACAGTGTTAGGCTGTGAATGTCACCTCTTAAAAACCATTTCCACAAGTACTAAAAAAATCCTAAATATTCATTCTGTTCACATCTTGTCCCTCACCAAAAACAAAGATAAAAAACCACATACAGATCTGATTTTTAACCTGTCTCACTTTACATTTTTAGGGGTCTAAGCTTTAGGAGTCAATTCAAGCTCAATTAAATTCAAGCTAGTTTACATGTGAAATATCAAAACCATTAAATGAAGTTAGAGCTCAGATTTTCAGGTATTTACATGGCTGCATGAACTGAGGTTTCAAGTTGAGAGCTACATAGTGGTAGAGCTCGCAAAACTGACATCAGGAAAGGATCAACAGGTCCTTCCTCTCATGCCTGTGGGAGCCTGATCTTTGTCTCTTTCCTTTCCAAGAAACAGGACTACAGCAGAGGCTGCCTCATGTTTCCCAAAAACCATTAAATGATTTCACTTCATGAACTGAAGGCAGCTGGCACTTTGAACAACCCAACACAAGAATTAATAGCCTAACCCACAAATACTAAAGCAGCATATTCCCTGGCTCTGACATCGGCTGGCCACTTGCATCAGCCAGCTGGAATATATCTACTCTGAAGTAGTTAGGCCATAGTCTTGACATAACTTTAAATCTCTAGTAGTTGTATTGCTCTCTAAGCAGTACAGCTTCCTTTTTCAGGCTGATTCCTTTTCCACTTTTAAAAGCTTTCTATTCAGATTTGCTGCCTGGTGTTTATAAGGCTCCGTTAAAGCTTCACTCCTCTTTGAGACTTATGTGCAATGGCTTTGGGCAAGACTGCATGTTTTGCAAACCAAGCAGAAAGCAAAGCTCTACTCAATTCTTCCTGATAGACAAAAAAACACAACCAAAAGTCTACCTGGTTTGGACCGGCCAATGGGTTACCAAAAGGAAAAGAAAATAAACTCAACAGTTTAAGTATGCTGCAAAGAGAAAATAAGCATTTTTTCAGAGGATAAGTTTGTTTTTTCCTGTTTATAAATCAAGTAGGCAGGGCAAGTAGAGAATAGGAAGACAGAATAATGAAGCAGTTAAGGTGACAGGTCTAAAAGCGTAACTTTAAGTGCTATCCTGGTCTTGTGGAAGGAGCTGCTGTAAGCTGACCCAGGTAGCTGGTTTTTGGGTGTGTAAGGATACTGCTGGCCTCTTATTTCCCTGTGCACTATAGGCTTCAAGTATTTCTTTTAATCACAGTAGCTTCTTCAAGTGCATGAGGTGACAAGAAGTGTGAACCTTGCGTTTCTTTAGTTGACTTATGTGCTCCTGCCTTTGCTTCCCTATGAGCTGTCATCCTACATTATCACAGCATCACTCAAACTTAATCAAGACAATCATGGCATACATAGCAGACTAACATGAATTTTATGCACATAAATAATTTACCATTCAACAAAACAAATGGTAAACTATCAAAAACGCCCACTGATTGTCATAGATCTTGGAGTAGGCTTCAAAAAACAGGTATCTACCCTTTGCACTTAGAGCTGTGCTAACACATAATACAGACACACCATGATACCACATGTCCAGGGAGCAAGTTTATAGCAACAGCCTGCCTTCAGGAAAGATGTCAACGGGCAAAAGAATACTGACTATTCACATCAGAGCTCAATGAGCAACAGGGGTTAACTTGCCTATAACAAAAAGTTGAAAATAACAAAGCAAAAAGTAACTTTGCTTGATGTGCAGCCTGCAAAGTCATAAAAAAGTTAAGTCTCGGGGGAGAGGATGCTTAATCTTCTAGTTTGCCTTCAGTGCTCTCAAACATATTTGAGAGAGCTGGGGAACAATCAAATTATTTTTTTAGAGCCTAATCCAAGACATGCTGAAGTCAGTAGGAAGTCATTTATTAATTTCAATGAACTCCAAATCTAACATGAAAAAACCAAAGTAACCCAAAGTTATGTACTGGTCACTGGAAACAAGATCTCCTTCCAGCAAGCTTTGCTGATACGACAGGCCCTTCACAGGATGACCTTTCTAAAGGGAATTGGTAGGGACAGAATGGAAATATTCAAGACTGGATTTTTTTTTTTCTTCCCCAGTGTACACACATCACAAAAAAATACATGTAATCTACGTTGCTGTAAATTGGGTATTCCCAAAGTTCAGGCTTGAATTTAAGAGGTACAACAGAAACCTATGTAACATATATGATGGAGCAAAGAGTGACAGGCCACTTCTGCCTCCCTATTTTTTCACATCCTGTGGAGGCTTTTAAATTAAGCATGAAATACTATTGCGATACACAAAGTGTCATCTGATACATCTCCAACAAATGCCCAAGCAGTTTATATTTAATACAAACTATTAAACTGGAAAAACTGTGCCTACAAATATGCACAACATTTATTGCGCTGTAATGCAGTGCAAAAAATAACCCAATTATAGAGAATCAACAAGAAAAAAATAAAAAAGGCTTATCAGTCATGAATAAACTGCAGATTTCCACTGATGTTTGAATGAATAACCCATATGGCAAAGATTTGCTGGAAGCAAACTCCAAAGAGAAAGAGGAATACCTTTTGAGTGCCTAAATGTTTTTTCTTGTTCCAATATCTACCATACTGCTCAAAAGCTACAGGAAGTCCATGAAATTCCTAGTTGAGCCAGCACCAAAATATCATTTCTACACATAGACAGTGTTTAATACTTATTTTCTAATAATGTGGCATCAGTCAAGTCAAATACATAGGCACTATAACCTAGAGAAGAAAGTAGAAAATATGCAAGGGAAGACTGTTTCTCAAGGTATGTGAATAACAACCAGGACTTCTCACTTTGTCATATGTAAATGGCTGCAGTTCAACATAAGTTTAAGAAAGCCACATAAAGTATAAAAGAATTTATGCTTAATGTAGGGGGTGGAGGGGAATCTATGTGCAGAACACTGATCTTACTAGAAAACATTGCATTGCACTATCGTAACTAATGACAAGGTGATCTTAGCTTGTAGCTCGAGTAAGAACGTGTAAAAAAGATCCATTTACGAGTTTGGTGCCAAAGGCAAAGGTAACTTTGTGCTGCAGGAGCTATGTTTTGCAGGGTGCTTTGCAATAATCTTGGTTGCCCTTTGTATCACACCATCGCATTTACCCCACTGCAGGAGACAAACAGGTTGACAAACTTATCAGTGGAAACAATGACCTCTGCTTCAAACTCCGCAAGGTATGTCATGTCCCTCTTTGCAATAGCAAATTAAACACTATACTTGGGAATCAAACGTTTACCTTGCAGTAGGAGCAAAGGCATGACTTTTTACAGATCAAAGTGTTCCCTAGAATCCTATAAAACATGTATCTGAACACATACATCTGTGTACATCAGCTCATTCTGTGCCCAGTATATGTCAAATATAGCACACAGCTGTTTTTGAAAATAGTATAAATTCCCTTTTTAGCCTATAAAAACTCTTCCGTACAGCCTGCTTTCCACTAACCTGGCCATTTCAACATTTATCAGTATCATGACTGCAAGTTTTTCTTTCCCTTCCCTTCCCTGCTATTCCAGACACAGCCTACATAGTCTATTAGTAAAACACTTAAGGACAAACACACATATTTCAGGTTTAAATCACATGACAAGGTAAGCCACATTTCAGCTTAGAAAGTGCTATCAAGAAAGCAATGAAAGAGCCCAGAAATTCTGGCTACCTTGGATCTGGTACAGCAAGAGCCACAGTGTTCCCTCAGTCACTTCTCACATGCACCCAGAAAAAGCACGAGCCTCAGGCAGAAGCTTCCCCTCCCTTCTTGATCCTAGCCAACTCATTCATCATACTTTTTCCTCCATGTCCCCCATATTTCAAAAACTGTTGGGAGAGCTCTGGTGTACTATAGCTACAGAGAAAACAGTTATTTATGCTGGAGAATGTAAGCATTCATTTTCATGAACGCAGCAACTATTCTATCACTCAAACTGCTTAGGGTGTACCTGGCTCCAATCAGATACACTAAACAGAGCTCTGCTATGGTAATAAATATACAAGTACAGCACCCAGTCAACAATATAAGTAACAAATGAATCCCTCCCAGAATTTGCCAGCAGCAGTCCTTGTACATTTACACTGAGTCACTGGATAATATCAAAATGCACAGGCCAGACTTGGGGAAAGGCAGAACAGAACTCCCTGAAAAGAGTACATGACCACCTTCCCTAAAAGCAGTTACTGAAATCTATTTTGGAGTCAGGGTGATGAGGAAGGAAAAAAAAAAAAAAAAAAAGCCAGTGAAGTAGCTAGGGTCTAAGGAACACACAACTTAAGAGAAAGGATGTACACTAGATTGTAAAGTTGCCAGCTTAATGTATCAGCAGCAGCATAAAGGACTGAGTAAAAGAACTAGAAGTGCCACAGAAAAATTTGTGTAAGATACAAGCTCTGCTGGACCAGCAAAAAAAATGCACTGTTAGGAGTCACCGCAAAGTGTGATTCAAATACAGTGACAGGAACACTCAAAGCTTGACAAAACTAAACAACTTCTCTAGCCCACTTGTCAGCATCTCTACACTGTTCGCAGTGAAAAGCGCCAAAGGCAGTAGAAGCAAACAAGGCAATACTCTTCTACAGCCAGAAAGTTTTAACAGAAATCTCACGTGCAGAACAAATAAAGGGAGAAAGCACATTATTAGCTCCTCCTCTGCTCCTTCTATGTCTCTACCTTAAGAAGTTGTAAGATTTTTGGAATAAATCTTTGATTGTGCCATTTTCTGCCAAAGTCACAACAAGGCTCAAACCAAGCATCCAGATTTAAAGGTCTCTTCTGGAATAAAGATGCATCTATTATGTGAAACAAGAAGAATTGCTTGGCAGATAGTGATTAAAGCATCAGCCTAGAAACTGTAATTGATTCTGAAGCAACGTAATTTTGACAGAGACAGTTTAGAAAGCAGCCTCCTGGCTCAGAATGCCTCCTCAGATTTGTTATTGTTGCAATCAGTAATACTTAGACATGAATTACATTTAGTTATTTCTCTCAAGAGTGTATTTTTAAATTGGCCTTGGTAGGTAAGTGAAAGTAATGAAGATAAACGCTCCCAAAAAATAGCATAAAATTATTCATTAAGGACATACGGTACTACGGTCCATGTTAAAGCACTGCCATTAATATGAACAGAAGCATTTAATAATATATTTTGTAGTAGATTGATATCCAGCAGACTGAAACATCCCCTATATTGGCATGAAATGCCAATGGAATATTGATATTCCGTAGCAGCTGTCTCATCTCACAGTGCAAGGATCAGAAATTCATAAAAATTATTGAAAAACTGTTTCTGTTCCTGTGAAACAGAAATATTCTTTAGTAAGACACGCCCTCCAGACACTCATGTTATTTCTACAGATTCTTTGATATTCTACAGAATGGAAGGCAAAACAGAGACTATTTTCAAAGTATTCTCCACTATTTTGGTGAGGTATAAACTATGTATTTTCTTTATAGAGTCAAAGTTAAAAAATAATCAAGAAAGCGTCTCATTTTTGTGATTTTTGGGGGAAGAAGTAAACACATGATCAATGAACTTCTTTAAAAAGACAACAGTATCTAAAAACAGTAGTCAAATAGAAATAAGCTTTAAGTGGTTAATATTTTAAGACAAATAAAATTACTATACTAATAAACCTATTTGGCTACTTAATACTATTTCTACCACTAGAGGGAGGTCATATTCCTTCAAAGCCAAGAAAAAAAAGACAAAAAGAGTTAAAATGTTCAAGTCAGGTACATTTTAAGTTGTGAGAAAGCACTGAAATGCATATCTAATGATTTATTTTGTCTAGTCAACAAAGAATGCTTGTTGCTAAACTTTGGCCCCACACCTTGACAGACTCATGGAACTCATTAGGTTTGTTGTCTTCGTTAAGTATATGAGCAGGTCTACAGGAAAGCTAAAAGCATCAGATGCCAAAGCTATTACATTATAGCACTATTTCATATTCTGCCTTCTTAGGGGGAAAGTATGCTCTGCTTCTCTAGCCAGAACATTAGTAATTTGAAGTCCTTGCACTTCCTGCTTTACCATTTTTAATGTTTTGCTACACTTCACTCAAAAAACCTCCAAGTTCCTAACGTAATAGTAGCATAGGATTGTCTTTATCATCTAACACAACTCTTGGATAACGTGTTAAATAGGAGTTAATGTAGAAGTGTTTTACAACCCAGCTATAATGTTCCAGCAAATAACCACAGAACTCAGATGAAGCAGCTCTCCTTGCTTGCAGGGCTGGCATCAACCCCTTATGCAGAAAGGGAAATATGTGGTGGTGCCATCATTCTGATTACATTTACACCACCAATACTGTCCTGACATTGGTAATGCAGGTAAGTTCAAAGCAGCAGATGTTATTTATCAGGTAGTCACCAACAGGTCCTTTTACTTATTTTCCTCAAGGGACCTTAATTCTCATAGAGATTACTATTTTGAGTTGCAAAATCAATTGTATGTCTGAATCCAAAGGACAATCCCCTCCCAGCCTGGATACAACAAAAAAAAATTATGAAGTTATGTTTTGTGGTTCATTCAGAAGTTATTGACAATCTTTACTGCTTTACCGATATAATGCAAAATCCTCTTCTGTGAAGATGTCTTGAATTTTGTCCCCAAAGTACCTGAAAAATGAAACAACAGTCTAAAAGAAGAGTTGCTGAATCAGACTGCCTGAGTAATACCAAGACATATTCTCACCCCCATCTGTGCTTTACCCACAATCAAAAAATGAAAAACACCACCAAAAAAATCCTACAAATGCTTTTAAGCATTATGTTCCAAAAGCATTGCTAAAAGATTTTATGTTAAAAGATTAAAGGATCAAGATACAGCAATTGTTAACGGAATTCCCCAGGCATGAAGAAAGTCCCCTCCCACGTCATGACATAAGCATGTGGATTCAAGTTTTTAGGAGTTCAGACTACTTGACTTCTTCCACTGATGACACACTAGACTATAACTGTGGAAAAAATACTATTATTTACTGGTACAAGAAGAACTCTGAGAATAAAGGTAATGGTAGCTTTCTAAGAGCCCAGTTCAACAAAAGATTGGTTTTCATGCCACAAAAAGCTCTTTAACTGGTTGTGGAAACTGTGGTGAATCTAACCAACTTCTACGGTTTGTCATTATTAACCCCAGCCCACAAGGCTTGAGAAATTTGAAAAGGCAGTAAGCACTGAAGGTATAGGATAACAAGAGAGGCAGGAAGCCACAACGCCATTTTACCTGTACAGATTAACAAAATGCTTCCCCAGTGAAAGAGCTCCAGAGTGCAAGTCCAAAATTGATGCCTGGGAAGGGAAACAAAAAAGTAGAAAAAATGAGCATGAAAAGGTTTTATCATTATTTAACTATGACCTTTAACTGTCCCAAGTTGGCTCTCATTTTCCACAGCTTTCCAAGTAAAAATATTGGATTCTAGCATTTGGGTTCACAATACTAATACTTTACAACTACAAACCTCCCTCAGTTTGATGTATAGATGCACAAAATATTAAGGTACTATGACAAAAGCATAGGACTGCTATTCCTGAGATTCAAATCTGACATGCAGAATTGCCAGAGTCTTCCTCCATGGGCTAGGGGTAAGACACTGTGTTCCTGGATTCCTTCTTGAAGACATTTCCCATCCACACAAAGATGACTAATTTTCCAATATTTGTGAAGCGCTCAAATAGCAGCACTAATATTTATCTTGCCCAACATTTGTTATTAAAACTTCTCCTTCACCATGAGGTCCTGTATACTTCTCATATTTAATATGGACATAAAAGTCTGTTTAAAAGAACAATTATAATTCTAAGGCTTACTAGAGCCAAACTTTCTTTTCCTCAATTTCTAAACCACTGTAAAAGAAAACCAAGGAGTGAAAAGTTTTTACATATGAAAAGTCAATCCATTTCTTCATCTGATTCAAGCCAAACACTTCTGTTGAGCTCCAGACCAAGCTAAAAAGATTAATACTCAGATTTGCCAGGATAGAGAGCGACCCCTCAGGACTCTAAATTATTTCTCTAAATTGAATAAAGTACACTTTTGTATGTCCCTTGCTGTCCACAAAATACATGTTTGTTTTCTATCAGTTAAACAGCATTTAAAAATACAACTGTTTAATAGCAGTCTTTTTTTTTTTTAATACTGGAAATATCAACAATTAATTAACCTGACCGGCACCAAAGTAATGACTTCTTTGACATACAATATCCAGACAAAAGCTCTCATCTTGGAATTTGGCATTTCTTGATGCACCACATACCATTCACGTTATTATAGCAAAATCCAAACAATAATAAACCACTAGGTGAGCTGCCTGGAAAGAATGATAACTTCCACCTCACTGGCAACAAGAATTTCTGGGCATGGTTGGAACAGCACTGTTTGAAGCCACTTTGTATCTTTACCCAAATGCAGACAGGCTGGTGAATGAGCAGCAGCAAATCATCAGTCCACAGCCGTGTCAGAGCTGCATTGACAGGCTAGCAATACAGCTTCGCGTTCATCCCGAGACTCAAAGCACTTTTCTCCCTCCTCCTCTGGATCATGTTGGAGGAAGACACCCATGACAGTCTCTCAGCAAAAGAAAACTGATGCAGGCTTAATTGCTCTGAGCTTCAGAGCTGAATCAGGGGAACTCCACTGAAGTCTCCATTTAAAAGGGATAGTATAATAACAACCTTCTTTTAATAAACCTACCCAAATAATTTTATTTGCCCCTTAAAAAATATATAAGCAACAAGCTATTCAAGTGGACATAGCATGAGCTTTTCAGACCTCCCCTTCCCACATTTCTCCAAAAGCTTCAGAGGACTGTTATGGAAACAAGTAATCTCACACTCACGCAAAAGCAGTTCTTGTAATAAGTTCTACTCAAGCCTGAGAAGTAGAATATTTTCATTTATTAGTTTCTGGTTCTGTACAATAATCTAAGCCACAGCTAGAAGAAGTAAAACTGCTCCCATGTAGCTTCAAAACTATGCTTGTGATCATGCTAAAATAGATTATAAGGAGAAGTAGCAGGACACATCTGAAAAGATGAATTTAATTTAAAAACAAATTGCCTTTCAAATACTTTCAACATGCTTTCCAAATATATACATTTCTTCTCACTCCTCAAGCTCCAGATGATTACAGTTGGGAATATCCAAAATAACCAAATGAATCAATAAAAGCCAACCCCAAGAACACTAGGTATTCATAGCTGAAAAGATAATAGCTATGATATAAAGCCTAGAAGTGCCAGAGAAAGAAGAATGAAAAGGGAATCTGAAAAAGCAGGAATATTCTTCGGGGTTGTTTCAGACAGAGGAAAACAACTGAATGCCAAACATAGCGAGGGACTTGATTACACATGAGCACGGAGCTATTGGTTTAACAGCTACCTTGGAAAGAAACTGAAACACATTTATTTTGGCCTCTGCCATTTCAGAACACTAAACATTTCCAGCATCATTTCCTACACCGAGGAGAATACCTTGGTGGAAGCCTGTGTCAACACTGTTACTTTAAGTTCAGCTATCTCATCAAGGGTCAGCCTGCAATTCAGGTCAGCGTTCCCAGGCTGAAAGCTCTACAAAGTTTATCTAAAGATGGCAGAAGACTGCAAACGTGCATACCTACACACCTATTTCCAAGAGATTGTTTTACAGAACTACCCCAATGTCCTGGTTTATGGAACTTCTACAGAAAAGAAATTGAACTTCCTTTAAAAAAAAGCACAAATGTATGTTCTTTTGGACCTTCAGTATTGTTAGTCCCACATTCTCCACCCTCTCACTGCTAAAAGGATTCAAAATGAACATGCAAGTAACCACCACTTCTCAGAAAATGGCAAAAAGGATCAATGTCCCCATCTCGCAAAGCATGACAGGTCCCGCCTTTCATCCTCACTAAAAGGGATTGCCAACCATTAAATATATATTGACTTCTACAGCAATTCCTCCACCCCTTAAAAAGTTTTAAGTGATACTTTTAAAGAAAACACTGCCCAAAAGAGAAAAAAAACTTACTTCTACTTGCCTACAGAGGAGCTGGTAGCACTCAAACCCTTCCCCACTCCTCCTGTGAGAATGCTCACACACTCGAGCTCCGAAGAGGGAAGTGCAATGGAGGTTGTACATGGCCACTAATCCCTGGGCAGCATCAAACTTGCTGTCACTGCAGGCAGTCTTACACAGACTCTCAAAACAATACCACCTTTAAGTACCCTTCCCTACTTGAATCTCAAGAGTAGACAGACAAGGGTTACATTCTTAGGGTAATGCCTCTTAAAAGTTACACTGATTAATTATGAGGCACAAGCGTAACCAATCTAATTTATACATCATTCAGATTGCTAGAGGTACAGGTTATTATTACTGTGGAAATTATTTAATTTCCAGTAATGGAATTTGGTGATATTTGACTATGGAGTCCAGTACAAGCTTACACTAGATACAGATTAGACACAACCAGTTCCTCTCCAGCTTCCTAGAGTTAAGTCCAGATAATCCCACCAACACACAGCTGTACGTAAAGTGAAGGACACACTGCCAAGTATGTCTTTCACTCCTCACAAGTATGTGTTTCCTAAGGGCTATCAGGAGGCTAACTAGGAAGGAAGAAAACTACGCAGCCTGCAGTAGAGGAATGAGATAGGCCAAGTATTATACAGAGGCTTTATCTTCTCCATGGAAAACGCAGAGCTGACAGCATTTCGAGGACTTCAGACTTTGGTTGGGAAGGCTGAAAGCAAAATAAGGAGGGATATGGTCTCCAGAATGACCATTCTATGCATGGGTCAGGGGGCCGACATCAGAAACCCTTATTTGGCATCACAGCTACACAGGTTGTTTGCTTCTCCCAGTGATTAAGAAATTTAATTTTCCCCTGCAAGAGGGAGGTCTAGGTGGCTACTCCTGCCAGTTTCACTGCAACACAGGAAACAGACTGCACCAAGAGATTTCTCTTCTGGGGCTTCTAAATAAATGCCAATAGATCCAACAGTAAATGAGTCGTTTCATTTACACTAGAGAGATGTTATGACGGCAGCACCTACAAAGACGTGAATGAATGAGTCATGACTGAACTGGTAATGCAAGCAGAGGTAGCGTGTAAGAAAATATTAGGTAGGGAAGAAAGGGAAATGTCATTATGTTAATAAAGAAGAAAAACCTAAGCTGAGGCAATCATCAAGAGAACTAATGCAATTCACATTCTGTGAATAAGGGACAGAGTATAAAACTGTTTTACAGAGACATACAAGGGAAAACAGTATACTGGTGGAGAAGATGCTCCTGTGTGGATTCTGTTGAAAGTTAGACTAGAAGATCACAATGGCCTCTTCTAGCCTCACTGTGTGTGTGCATAAATAAGTCTAGGAAAAATTACAAAGGAAGATTAGAAAGAAACCTCAGCATGACAACTGGGCATGACTCAGATTTCCATAATTCAGATATTTGCCAGGACTTTCTCCACACAAAAGGATGGAAAGGGAAACAAGTTTTTGTGCTATACTTCAGTACTACACGGAAGCAGAAAGGGCAGCAAACAAAGGGAGGAAAGAATGAACAGAGTCACAAACTGCAATTTTAGGTCTTCAAATTAATAAGTTGTATCCAGACACATAGACATAAATCCACTTCTGTGAACTCAAAGTATAAGAAGTATGACAGAAAAAAAAAAAAATCAGACACACTGCTTAAAAAGGGGTTAAGAGGAAATCAGAGAGAATGAAAATGTAGTCTGCAACCCAGTAGAAATCTGAAGAAGTTTTATTTGGAATAGTAGAGAGATCAAAGTGGCTGAAGAAAGAATTAAAAATAAATAACTCTTGTTTCTGTTTAATTAAGGAATTTTTAAGGAAAAAATTGGTCTTAGCACAACAGACATAATTGGACAGAATTATCCAAATACTCTAAAGCCTAAGAAATTTAAAGCAACAAGCCACACCTTATCCAAGAAGCTTGAAGCTTAAGAGGCATACAGGCAAAGTACCTAGATGAAGTAAGACTTGAAACATTTTGTATGTTAGGTAGGTAAGAGATTTGGAAAGATAAAAGGCTTAAGGGAAGACATTGGGAAAAGATTCACTCCATGACATGGGGAATACAAACATGCACATCGAAAAAGAAAGGAAAACAGCATAACAGGGGAGAAAGAGGCATAAAAGAAACTAGGTAAAGAGACTGTATTTAAAAGCTTCTCCTAAACACGATCTCCTAGAAACACTGGTCAGCTCTTGTTTTTAGCATCTTTCAGTGTTTATCCACTATTTTGGATAAGGCCTCAATGCAATACCACACAACTTTCTTCTTGTACCTTTCCCTAAGGAGTAACAGCATGCAATAACTTTCTCACATTTACAGATCATGAGAAATGTGAGAAGGCTTGTATCAAAGCCCAGACCGCTCAATGGACATCAGATTTCTTAACAGACTTATTTTATTGTGGCAACAGAATCTTCTCCCCCCATACCTTTCAAAAAAACTCACAATGATGCTTCCAAAATGATGCAGATGATGGACTTATACTTGTCTGATACTCTGGCTTCTTGTCCAAGTAAGTCGGGTCAGGACCCCTGCCCAGCTCAGTGCATTGGGCAGCAAATTCACCCCCCCTCATGTCTCTTCCAAGCTTTCTCTGCCTCAGTTTCCCCAGTTCCCTGACCCCCAGCTGGACATTAGCTTTTTGTGGTCCACATCCATGAAGCTGTCTGTGTGATACACTACCCTTCTAATGCCTCTTTGTGGAAATCTAATGAAAAATCACCTGGAGATCCCAAAAGAACAGGATAGGAAACCCACTTGACAGCACTAATGACAGAAGCTAAGCCAGAGGTCCCAAAAGGCAGAGTAATCTAGGCAAAGTGGCAAATCATGCAATCGCATAACTGAAAAAAAATCCAAGGGATCCTGACAGAACTGAACAGAGAATCTTAAATCTTTTAAATATATTAACCAGTGCTGCCCATCTGAAACAAGTTTCTTGGGTTATATTTTTATTGTCCTTGTGATTGTTGAGAAAGACCTGCAAAAAAGTCTTACTTTTTCATTGAAACCTTTCTCCTTTTCTGCTAATATATGCCCTAATTCAGCAGAGGCTTAAAGAAGTGGCTGTGTTTAGAAATACTCAAGAAACAGTTTCTATTCAGACACAAAAATATCCTGAGAACAAAGACAGGAGAAAGAAATTAAAATAAACATGCTTGTAGAAGAGAAGTGTGTTTGTTTTCATTTTTAAAGGTCTACTTAGAGACATTACATGGCATTTTTTGTCACTACACAAAACAATCTTTACACGATGCTGTGAACCACTGTAATTTAGTTTCAGAAGTCAAACCTGTGCAGTTCTGCTATAGTAACTGTTTCCAGATGTAGAAGACAAAAGCAGTTCAAAAGAGGTGCTAGAAATAACTAAACTGAGTAATAGGAAATGTCAGCTGTATTGCAGAAGTTATGAATTACACTGCTAGCAGTATTAATGGGAGATAAAATAACTTTGCAAACAAATGTTCTTCCAAGTGTGAATGGAAGGAAAAACTCTCCATCTCCTCTCCTCAAGCCCCAAAAATGCATTTATAATCTTGCCTTGGCAGTAAAAGAATGTAAAAAGTAACAGGACACTGCTCACCCCTCCATCAGATCCTCCCAAGGACAGTCCCCTCTCTGCTATTCTGCAGGCAAAACAATAACCTCAGATGAGAACTGAAGTCTAATTACTTTGTCCTTTAAGTCATTATTTACAACATACAACTGTTCAGTAAGTGGTATTTGACGCATCAAATATAACCCGATTGAGTTAATAGGAGCTGCCATTTACTTGAAACTGAATCTTGCAGCCTGTCATGAAAATAAAGTACCTATGTTGCAGAACATTTCTGAGCTTGTAGCCCCCTTCCATAAATCCCCAAAACACCCCCAAACACATTGTCTTTCAAATACATTCTGGTCAAGTAAGATTAAACATAAAAAAACCCAAACCAGATCTTGATTCTTAGTGGCAGTACAAATAAACCTGTACAATGTAGAAACGCTGCATCAAAACCAGAAGCCCTGCTGAATTTGAAATGCCAGAGTGGCTGGCCTGACTAGTGAACAAAGCACTCATACCAGCTGCCTATGGCTTCGAGCATTACAGTGATATTCCCCACCGACACGATTATCAAGTGCAAATCACACTCAAAGAAGCTGATAACTTTTCTAACTGCGTAATTGGACAGTGTCCCCTACTATTTGATTAAAACTCACCACTTAGTGTTCACAGAGGACTACAGTGTCAGCAGTACCTCATGATTACCCAGAAATAGACTCAGCTGAAAGAAGGTATATGTTGTTTTGTTCTGTTTTAAAGGCCAAATGGAACAGAAGGCCAAGTGAAAATCCTTTAAAACTCATTTAATTAATTTTCCTTTTTTTTTTCCCCCCACAACCCTCATGCCCCACAGAGCGAGGTAGACTCTGTATAAAAGAACTGCCTCTACTACAGCAAAAATGAAAAAAGTTTTTTAAAAAAGTTTAGTGTTTTAAAGTTTAACCCATCCTCCTTCAGCTAATGAGCTTTGTGCTACACCTTAAACATTGGCACACTGTCATTAAAGTGCTCATAAATTTTAAGAGCTAAAAGAAAAATTACCTACGGATTCTTTCAGCTTCTTCCCTTGTGATTACTGCATCAGTCACACCTCTTCCACACTTTCTAGGAGTGCACCCTGGAACACAAAGAGAAAGAGAAAGTATCATCTTCCAAAAAAGGCTCGAAACAAATCTTTATTAATATTCTTCTACTCCCCTTTCAGATTCACAACATTCAGAAGGGATATCAGCAATCTCAGAATATTTTAGATGACTTAAACTACAAGAAAGTTACATCCCCATTTTGGTATGTTTTGCACTGCAATCAGAGAGAAGACAAGCCAGCCAATGTCACTGTTGTTTCTGCACAGATTCAAGTCTGCAGGACTCATCTAAGGTACATCACTTTCCCTGCTATGGCTGGTTCCCCTGAATTACATCAACTAAGCTGACAAGTTATTTCCTGCTATGTCCATAGTGCAATTCAACAGAATGGACATGATTTAGAAGAAATGAATCTCAGCCCCCAAAGCAGCCTCTAGAGATGTGGCTGTCACACATGACCCAGAGTCTCCAGCATTTACGTTAAGCAAGACACACAGTAATACCATGACTTTAAAAACAAGCTACTTTTCCGGTTGATCTGAAAATAATTCTTAAGTTTGTTACAAGTCCTTACAAGTTTGTTACAGACTTTGGGATTAAAGTTGCCTTACTGATGTTCCTCTGCACATCTCCCACTTCAAGCTAGAGAAGGTGGCCTTTGTTTAGTAAGGCAATATTGGACGCATATCTATCTCAATGTACATGCAGCAACACAGATCCAATGATTTTTTTCCCCCCTTCTTCCCAAGTGCAGTAGTGAAAACAAAAGTTTTATGTTTATATAACTGGTCTCTGAAAGGAAGACGATCTTAGATGTTTTCATTTCACACAATTTATTCTAGCCTTCAGACAGGCAGAGCAAGAACTGGAAAGCTCAACAATACCACATGGATCCTTCCATCTCAGGCTGACAGTTCCAAAAATCAGCCAAGATCTCTAGCAACTAAGCCCCCTTAGTATGACGTGTCCATATACAAAATGTTTTCTATTACAGTCCAAGTAAGCCTTCAACTCAGACAAAGGTCCAGTACATACCACTCTTGGGTACAATACACAACATGAAAAGAGTTCTGTCCCAAAACCAGTCTCAACAGGATAAAGAAACTCAATTGTCCTGGAGAAAAATGAGATGCAGAAGACAAGACATGCTTGGATACAGACTGCAGCAGACATAACACCAGAACACCACCATGTTAATAACAGAAAAGAGACTGCCACTCAGACAGGAGTGAAATCACTACTTGACAAAAGAAAAACTGAAAAAATTAGTTAGAACACAAACAGTTCAAGCCATGAAGATACTCCTAATAACAAGGGCTCCTGAATAGGTATAGGATCTTTAGGCAATATCAATACATGCTAATTCATGTATTAACACAAAAAACTGAATTTAACTTATGTTTCAGTATTCAACCCAAATAATGCAGTTTCTTAACAGAGATTCCTGTAGTCAAGCACTAAGAACCATTATATCTGTCAACTGGAAGTCACTGGAAAAGCAACAGTAACATAAAAAAAGCAGTGAATTTGAACATTCCAACCATACTGCCAAGAGAATAAAAGCAGCATAGTTCAGATTTGCTCAACCCCTTCTCCCCCAAACATGAGTCAAAAGGAAGCAAATAACATGCTGTATGGGGTGTCTATACAAACATACTTTGAAGGGCAGCTATTTATATGAGGCTTTGCACAGAAGTGCCTTGAAGCACACAGCTTGGATGTATATAATAAAAAAGTCTCTTAAAATTCATTGCTAAGAAATCTAATATTAAATTTTAAAAACTCATGGAAAAAAAGCCAGCAGTAAGAGTTCCAGGTGAAGAATATATGAAAGTTCTTATGAAATTAGAAGTTTGGTCCACAACAGTCTTCAGGCAAGAAGAAGAAATAAGATGAATTCTGAGCCACCAGAGACCTTCGGATGTCACACTTGGCACTTTACTGAGGAAGATCCATATATAGATCTTCTATATCTATCCCATAGAAAAGTTGGGATGAATGTATTTTCTGACATCTGTCAATACACTTCCTGTTACTGAACTGAGCTCCTCTTCAAGGATTATTTGCTCATCAGAACACAAGGAGGGGTGGGGAACTCCTGGAAATAAATCAATCAATTCACCCATGCAAGTCAAAAGCATCAGTCTGCTCTGATCAAAAGCAACTAATGATAACAATGACCACAGACTGACAGAAAGAGAAATTTTGCAACAGCACGAGTGCTTTGTAGGAACTTCCACTCCATCTTATTGGATATACCCTGATATAGCCCTCGAATTACACCAGCATTTCAAGAAGAGAAAGAAGCAATGACAAAGAGATGTGTGGGTGAATAGGCCGAGTACTGACAACAACATACCAAATTATACACACTGTTTCCTTGCTTGGGAAAAGAAAAGTCCCTTGTTTGACATATGTTTAAATTGAAGTCAAAGGCACCCACACCAAGCAGACTGTTTAAACACAGATCAAGGTCAGGAAACGAACTGGATTACAATCAAGATAATTCATTGTGTTTTCTGGCTACCCTGCAACAGTAACTGAAGTCAGCTGAAGATTCAGATTCCAGGAAGCGCACATTAAGTTATTTGAAGATGACCTAGGAAACTAGCAGTCTACAATAATGCTAGAGATTACATTCTTAAGCTTTCATTTATCAATGCCAGCACAGAACCCAGAAGTGCGACAAGAATGAACCACAACCACTGCTCTCCCAGCTCACTTTTCTCCTCTTGACCCTGTGAGCTACAGAGATGAGCAGAATCAAAACATACCATTCATCAGAAACCATAGTGCCTTGATATAAAAAAAACCACCATCAAAATTAAAAATTCTGTCAGCAACCCAAAGGTGCTTTGCATATTAAAGAACAAGATTTTGCAATACAGTAGCAGCCCCAAAGGTACAGAATTCAAACCAACAAAAACCCACAAGGGCTTTATAGGCTGAAAGTTGTTCCAAGTTACAAATTTGGGAGGGGAAGGAGTGGAGAGAGGGGGAGCTTCTGTGCCATGGTTCAGGCACATTGTAAATATGCCCTCTGCAACCAGAAAGGCTAGATGCAGTTTCTGTGGAAATCTTTGCATTTTTTCAATCTCAATTCCAGGAACCAACAGTTTGCAAGTTAACCACAAATCTTGCAATAAAAATGCAAGTATTGGAAATGCTATATTCCTTTGGAGCATACGATCTAGCAGTTCTGAAAAGCAACAAGTAGTAGCCAGCAAACAATGCAAACTATTTCTTGTCTGCCCTAACAAAAACATACGCATTTTATATTGCCTTAAAGGCTCCATTATACATTCAGCAGTGGCAGAATAAAATCAGTTACTCACTTTTGAATGCCAGGCTGAAGAGCATCGCAGAAGCCAACTGACAGGGATGAGACTTCTCTGCCTCCAGGCTAGCAAACACTCACCCAAAGAGCGAGACAGATGGCTGAGGCGGTAACAGTTTCCAGCACCCAATTTTTCAGATGCATGTAAAAAAACAGCCAAAGAACCAACAACTTGGGTTCCCAGAAAGGAAAAAAACCCTACCGAACATTTCACTAGTAACCATAAGATCCACTCAAAGATTTGCAGAACAATAATCAATCACAAATCACATAACATACTCCACACTGTACCCAATGTTCTGTTCATCTGGGTACAGATGTCAACAATGTTATGAAACACAAGTTTGGAGATTGGCAGTACTCTTTTTTTATAGTCCTGTTAAAAAACAAGATTAAAAAAGGCTCAAGTAACAGGCTGATAGAAAAGTGAGATTTTGAGTTTGGAGAAAGCTGAACACAGAAAAACAAGGAAGCCGTCTTGGCTAATAGAGACAAGAAAAGGGGAATGACTTTCCTTCTGCCATTGAAAAGGTCTCTTTAATGCTTGAAAGGCAAAGAAAATTGTCTTAGACATGAGGGAAAGCCAATGTTCAAGGAGAAGTGGTGAGAACGTGTAAATTCAAAGGAGAATTTCAATACTCCAGGACAAAACTGTCTAGAGTTTTCCTTGTATGACATTCTGCAAAAAGGATGCTAGCAAAGACTTCTGATTTCAGAAGAGATTTGTGCCCTCTGTTTCCAGCTGCAAACAACTGGATAGATCTTACCCTTTTGGAAAGGTTGGTACTGGAGAGTCCAGATTTGGCAAAACTACAGGGTTACCTAGGACAATTGTTACATGTCTAGGGTCTCTGGCAAAGACAGTGCTAGAAGCAGGAGGTGTTCTGAAGGCAACAGCAGAAGCTTTTCCAAACTGAGAAGAAAAACAAGAAAAAGACAGTCCAGTATAAAGTCAGTCAGGTACCAACTGTAAGGCACAAACACTGGATGAATGCTAAGGAAAAATCAGAACAGTCTGTTTGAAAACAATTTTAGCATTAAGAAATGTGTCATCTTCGTCTAAGAGACCATGGTACATGGGAGCACTGAAGTGTCAAAAGCATACTTGGAGAATCTGCACTCAGGAGAAAATTAGTTTAGTGTTACAAAAGTACCCAGTAGCTTCCACAAATTTGTGCAAAATCATTCACTTAACTAATAAGGCACTCAGCTTTGGATCTTAAGAGTTGTATTTTTTTCAATCAAGGTAAAGGAAGAGCATACCAAAACATGCAAAAACACAAGTACTCCCTATGGCCCCTGCTCCTTATTCAGTACACAGAAAACACAATGTAACACAGGGGTCCAAGTGCCTAAACTGCAGCTTTGTCTCCTACTTAAAGCGGCACTTGGCCAAGAACTGTATGCTGCCAAGACCAGGATAACTCACGTGAGAAAAAAGCCCCATCATGATGCTCCCTTTATACAATCCATCTCAACGCAGGACAAAAGGAGGCAAAGATTTATTGGATACCACCCCCATAACCACACCAGCAGCCTAGGTGCTTTTCCTCCACTGCTCACAGACTTCTCTGCTTTCCACATCCACTGATCTAGTCTCTGGAAAAGCATCTTCAAGCTGTCTCCTGGGCAGTGATCATGGATGCTTTGTACACTGACACAATATGTCAACACACATAAGAGAGTATGCAGGAGTTTCATCAGATACACTAGTAGCCATGGTAGTTTTAAGTAGTTAACCATGTCTCAAGACAGCAGAAATAGCCAAGATCTGGCCACAAGGCTCAGAATGCAGATGAGACTGTGCTCACAGAACACCCCATCTTCTGCAAATATAATAAGTTAAGTGCTTGGCCTCTGAAAAATAACACGTTTTATTTCTGTATGAAGCAGGTTTACTGGCAGGCAGTGCTATGGAAATAAAACCACTGCTCTGTGACACCAACTACCATACCATTTGAAACAAACTAGAAGCTCAGTTGCACTAGTTCAGTTTGAAGCACAGACAGGTGCATAAAAAAAGAAAACTCTCATCTTAGCAGTGGAAACTTCACGGCTGAGCATCAGACACCAAGTCATGATAGGAATGTACCTCCTTGTGACACAGAGCCAGCAGCTGTGGATGTCAAGCCAGAGTAAAGACAGAGAATGAAAAGCTACTGAGTGATAGAAAGCTATTTACAACAAAGCGACTAAAGCTCCGGAGCCGAATCCAGTTTGGCAGAGAACCATAATCCACATTTACTGCCTCGCTAAGCTATCAGTAACACACAGGTGGAACAAAGAGCTCAGCTTTGACGGGACAGCAAGGCTCAGCAGCTCACCACCACCCTCTGGCGGGCACCGAGCAGGAGACGAGAGAGAAAAAACGAGAGCAAAGTTCATTATCCCAGCTCGACTTCAATTAACCACTTAACAAAACAGATGTTCACACATTTCTAATACCACTGATCACTTTCTGAAAGCACAGTACAGGGAACACGTGTAAAAACATCTGCTAAAACCCCAAATCAATCACATAAGTTAAGAAGCAGCAGCAAGCAAACATCTAATTAGAAAGCCAGAATACAAACTTGCACAAGATGACTCCCCTTCGTTCCTCCTGGGTTGATGCCAACCACGTCAATCATTCTCATACAAAGCCAAGAGAGGTGACACTTCACCCTGCAGTTAGCATTTGCAGAGCTTTCTCCCCATGACATCACAAGTATAGAGAACACATTCATTCCTCTTCCCAGGCAGAGATATCCTTTAAGAGATACCCTTCCTGCCTTCTTTATGATGGAAAGAATAACTGATGGGCTTGCCAAGACCACAAGTCTCCAGCTCAGAAAACTCTTCCTGCAAACCAGGGAAGGGAAAAAACAAGGTTTTGTTGGTTTGGGGGGTTTCTTTTGACAAGCCAAAGCCCCAGTAGCAGAACAGACAGTTTTAGCCTTAGTTCAGTCATAACTACCAAATCTGTGGCAACACAGGCTGCAACAGTTTTCTCTGGCCTTGGCACTATGCAAATAAAGCCAGCAGCAGTTTCTTCTTATAGTAACTATGAAAAGTTAAAACAGAACATGTGTTTTCATATGCTTAGTCAAAAAAATCCCCCCTACTGAGGAAGTTTTCTTGCTGGTAGCTTCCTGACAGCAGTTTTCTTTGCCTCAATAACAATTGGGATGAACCCTCCAAAACCCTATAAGGCAAGAAGCTACAATAGCAGCACTGAGGAAAAACTATCTGACCACAGACTACACAAACATTTGTTTTACGTTACAAACCTTTCAACCAACAGCACCAGGACCAGCCACCTGAAGAGGACAGGGGAAATTACCTCCACATCTTTGGGGCACCACATCCAGGCTGCAGTTTGACACACTTTTTACCAGAACTGGTACTGGAAGAAAGTTAGAAATCATAGAACAGCCCAGGTTGAAAAGTGCCTCAAAAGATCACCTGGTCCAGCCTTTCATGGGAAAGGGAACCTAGATGAGATCATCTAGCACCCTGCCTAATCACATCTTGAAATCATTCAGTCGTGGGGACTCTACTACATCACCGGGGAGGTTGTTCCAGTGATAGACTGTTCTCTCTGTAAAAAAATTTTCTTATGTCAAGATGAAACCTTGCCCAGTACAACTTGTACCCATTGCTTGTTGTCTTCTCCATGTGGCTTCTTGTAAAGGGAGAGCCTCCATCCACCTCATAGCTGCCCCTTAATATTGGACTACTGTAACATGGTCCCCCTGAACCTTCTCTTCTCCAGGGAAGAGACCCAGCTCCTTCAGTCTTTCCTTATAGGACAGGTTCTCCAGCCCTTTGATCATCTTTGTTCTTTCTCAATTCCAAGCAGCTTCTTCCAGCCTCCACACTCTGTCTCCAGCTTTGTGTCAGCAACTGTTTTGTCAGCCACCTAATGAACCAGATAAGACAACTGATTTGGCTAAAAACTAACTCGGAAATACTATTCTTTTTAGATGGAATAGCTCATCAGTCAACACACACCTAGACATACAGGTAAGCCAACAAAAAGTAAGAGCACAGCTGCTTTCTGACAGCAGTACCAACCCAAAACATTCATCAAGATACACTACGCAAATCTAAAAGAGAACATCAGCATAGCTCATCCACGCAAACTGCAAGTCAGACTCTCACTCCTGTTCATCAGAGAAGATAAAAATCTTCCATTTCTCTAGAAGATCCAACATCAACACTCCAAAGAAATAAGTGCAAATATCAGTTTGACAGAAAACAGGCTCAGCTGAAAGACATAAAGACAGAGGAGTGCTTTGCAGGCAGCATCAAAAGCTGCTGGCACACACACATCTCAAAACAAGTGTATCAGAAACTGGCATTTGTGCCGTCACCGCAAGCTAGCGGCACAGACAAGATCCTAAAGCAGTTCCATTCCATACCCTGTAGGGTATTTACCAGCAACAAACTCGCCCACAAGGCTATGGCAGGAATCAACAGAGTAGGAAAGACACTATAAACAGATTTAGCAAAAGGTTTATTTCATATGGCCTAAGCAAAGCAGTTTCAGAAGAGCATTATGCTGGGATGACAAAAAAGCCTCTCAGAAGCAATGATTTCCAGGCTGACCCAAGAGGCACGAACATTTGTGGATTTAAACAATACACACAGTGACCAGGCATTTGCTGGAAACGCAGGAGTTTTGCGGTACAAATTTGGTTTAACAGACTTGGACAGCAGTCAGCCTGCTGTGGTCCTCTGAAGACCGCTTCATCCCACTTTGCACAATCCCACCCAAATACCTTCAAATCTTTTGTGGCTGTTGTAGTCCTCAGAGCAGGGGATCTCAACGAACTTGTCCTGCAGGTTCTCGCTGTGATGAGCCAGCACCTCCGTGACCCCGTCCTCGGCCCTCAGGTAGCTCCAGCTCAGGAGGCCACCGGCGGCAGCGGAGGAGAGGAGGACCGCTGCCTTCAGCCACCTCCACCGTGACTCTTGCTGGCCTCGGCTCTTCTTGGCACTACGGAGGGAGCACAGCGACAGTCCCACGCGAGACAACGACGCGCTCCCGAGCCGGTGCGGAGCGGACTTAAGCCCCTGCCCGACACCGGGGAGACCCGGTCAAGGGCCGGTACCCCGACCGACCCCTCGTTTGGGGTACGCGCGCACATATTTACAAGCACCCGCAGCACTCATTCCTCCTTCACGCCCGGAGGTTACAGGCCGCCTTCCCACAGGAGCTCCCGGAGGAACCGGCGGCCCTGCCGCAGGCCGCTC